TGATGCAAAAGAAAAGAGAAGAGGGAGTTAGAGAGGAGGGTTAGGGTCGATTTATTTAATTTTGAACAAGAAAGCCAAACTGTAAAGTGCTAACTGGTTGATTGTGAAGGCATGCTATTGTTTGTAGCGGAGGCTTGGTATCTAATCTTGCCTGCACCGGGGTTGGGGATGGGCTACCCCTGTTGTGTAGTCCCATGGGTGGGGGTGCAAATGGATCGGATCAATGATCCGATCTTAAATTGTTGGATTTGGACATTCTTATTTCAGATTTTTGGATCAGATCGGATCGGATTTGGATCACCTCCTATCTGATATGGTCTAATATATATGTTATATATCTATATATATATATATATATATAATATTTATATATATTGTTTATTTATTCATAATTGTATTATTTATATTGCATTTTTTTTAATTTTTTAATATTATTTATATTTTATAAAAACATGTATGCATATTGATGAAAATATCTGAAAAAATACTTGTATTTTTTTGTTTTTTCTTTATTTAAATAGTTATATTTTCTTTTCCTTTTAATAATGTATTAATATTTTAAAAATTAATTTAGATCGGATCAGATTCGGATATCCGACATCTTGATCATATTCAAATTCATTTTGGTATTTATGAAATCCGATCGGATTCAAATATACCCTGATTCAAATCCATTCCTATCCGTTTGCATCCTTACACATGAAGCCAAAAAATAAAAAGGGAAAATTACATATTAGTACCATGTACTTTGGGGATAGTCTCACTTTGGTCCGTGAACCTTAAAACGTGCTAATCTAGTACCTAAAATTTTAAAACGTGCTTATTACCTACCATTAACCAGTCATAAGTGGCATGTAAAAGGACACAAATGCCCTTTGGGTGTCATCTGATTTTTTTTTATTAACTAGTTCTTTGCACTAGTTCAATATTGATTCTTGAGGAAGAAGATGATGAACAATGTCTTATTTCAAAGGGTAGTTTTGACATTTTTAAAAGTTTTAAGTCACACATGTCATCATGTGATAGAGATAACTGATGGATTGCTAACGACATGGATTAAATTCACATGTTTTGAAAGTTTAAGTATTGGATTGGCACGCTTGAAAGTTCGAGGACCAAAGTGAGAATAGGCCAAAAGTTAAATTACTAATCTGCGATAGGAATGGTAACGGGGTGGGGCGGGGATGAGGAAAATCTTCCCGTTCCCATCCCCGCGAAAATCCCCATCCCCGCTAATGGGTACAAGGTTATCCCCATCCCTGTCCCAACGGGGATCCCCATTCCCCGTGATTTTTTATAATGTTAACCATTTTGTTTTTGTTTTTTATTTTATTTAAAAAAATAAAAATAAAATAATTATAATTTACAATCCTATTAGAAAATAATCAAAAGATTCAAACATATTCAACCATATTTTTAAAAATATCAATATATAGATGTATGTGTACATATATACATATCTAACGTATGCATACATATATGCATATATATTAGTGGAGATCCCACGGGGCGGGGATCGAGGTCCCTGCGGGGCAGGGAATGCTCTTCCCGTCTCCGTCCCATCCCCACTAACGGGGATGAAAATTTCCCCATCCCCATCCCTAATCTGCGATTTTTCAAAAAAAAAAAAAAAAAAAAAAAAAAAACAGAAAAGTAAGGACAGACCCAATGTAGATTTCTGATTTCCACTATAAAATTATAAACATTCAAAAGGTTAAAAACCCACACTCTATGCACCCATACCCGCCTGAAAATTGACATTAATTCCGATCTGACACTTACCAAAAATATATTTTAAACCTACAAATTCTGACCCTGGGCTGAACCGTCATTCTCCCAAAAAAACGGCTTTGATCGGTTATGTGTTTCATCCTCATTGGGACTACCGCGATGACCACAGCGAAGTGGCTACAGCAGTTCCTGACTCATTTATTTATCACCTGGAGGTTAAAACTCTTCTCGTGTCATCTCTTTTATGGCAATGTAGATTTTTTTTTGTTTTAAAAGATAAATTTTATATATGGTATATAGGGTAATTTTAGTTAAAAAAACACTTGTTTTCTCAATATATAAACATTTTACTATTTATTTTACAATTATTTCCTAAGTTTTTTTTTACCAAAAAAAGGTTATACTATAAAAAAAAATCCAAATTGTAGATATGTGTCCCTTTTATAAAAAATTGGGTTGGGACCGGTTCCACCCTGTCCCAAATCCAGACCCTTAAGAGTTCTAGCTTGAGCCGGTTAGCTAAGAGACAGAGAGAGAGGCAAATGGGCAAAGATGCCAAAAGGGTCCATGACATCACATGGGTTGGGCCCCAATCCCATGACAACTTAATATAAAAGAGATATGTGGTCTTTCTTTGTCGATGGTGGCACAAAATATCTGTGTGTTTTATCCCACCACCCCTCCCCCACACAATTGATAGTGGACTGGACGCGTTGTTCTGATTTTGATGTATCGATCAAAATGCAGTAATTACTGGCTTTGAAATAGAATATCGTTACGCAGATTTCAACAATCTACAGTGTTATCCAAAAACATCCGTAGCTATCAAGATAGAAAGCAAATTTGGTGTCCTTCATTAGGACAAATGGTCCATCTAATTGATTTCTACACTCCAACCGTCTCCAGCTATAGCTTTATTAGCACCGTTGTCTTGATGGGGTTTATTTGTCTCAAACAATTACCAATTTAGCATACCTCGTTTAGTCTTTTCTACACAACTCTGTCCCAGATTCAGTCTTAATTATAATAATTGATGCTGCGTAATTGGCTGTTCCTAGTTGGTGGTGGCTTAGCTTCCAGTAGATGATGAATGTGGAGAATCTGCACAGAAAGAATTAGAGAACCCGGGGGGTGTTTATCTGGCGAGGTCGCTCTGATGCTTAAGTCAATATGTGCGAACTGAGAATAATTAGAGAACAAGAGAGCTAGTAAGCAGTAAAATGTGCATACCTTTTCCCTTTGTCATTAGGGTTGGTGCCTTTATATAGGCATTGTTTGGTGTGGGCTTCACGCACCACATCAGAGATTTCTAGGAGGTCGTGCCTAACTGGTCTGAAATCCTCAAAGGTAACTGCCATGCACATTGACCATCCTCCGGAACACTCGATACATGGGCTAACTTTCGAGAAACTTGGGAGTGTCGGGATATGTGTGCCGAATTTGTCAACGAGTACGTCTCGCAGGTCGCCACCTGGACCTCAGTCAGGCTGGCACGCCCTCGAGGAAGGTCGCTCCTTGCATCGAGGTCATTTCGGCCAGTGATGAGGTGTTGCAGGTCGGCCCTGGACGAGGTGCTTCTAGCCGACTTGAATTGTGGTCGAGGTCGCTAGTTCGGCATAAAGGCTGGTCGCCATTTCGGCGCCTGTGCTAGGTCGCCAGTTCGGTGCCTGTTCCAGGTCGCCAGGTCGGGACACCATCATTCTGGTTAAGTTATTACCTAAGTGGTTCCGGGTGTCACCTAATTGTTCCAAGATGCCACGTGTCACGTTGTCATTGGAGGGCCAAATCTACCCTTATCAATAATCAACACTGGTCATTATGTATTTAATTATTAGTTTACCGGTGAGCACCAAAGAAAAAATTATTCTTCATATCTTTCATCCCATCCTGGAAAGAGAAAAGAAGAAAAGAAAATGAATAAAAAGGAATATGGGGGGGGGGGGGGCGTTGAAAAAGACATTTTCATCAGCTTTCCACCTTTTGGTACCAATTGTATGGATTCTGTGCAATTGAAAAGGAAAGATGCTTGGTCTTTTGTGACAGAAATTCATGTTTATCTGCACAAGTGAGGGCCTACCGGAACTTTTGTTTTTCCCTTTGGATATGCTCATTCACTTTTATTTCCAACCTGAACTCCCCCTTCCCCTTTTCTTTGTCTTGCCCACAAATCACAACGGTGTTCCATCCAGCCCGGCTAGCTGTAAGGAATGACTTCTACTGTTTTGGCCGCATCCCAAACCTATATAATTCAATTCTCGTATCTTCTGCAAGCAACCAGACAAGTGAACCAAAGAAACAGTGAGATATATCTTTCACTTGCTTTTGTCGTCTCATCTCATTATCTACCTCTCCTTTCGGGATTTTGAGCCAAGGACCTCAGGTATGGAAAATCAAGCTTATCAATCACATTTTGATGGATTTTTGCATCAGTCATGTTGACGTATATGGCTGTTTTGCTACTTCACCTGTAATCGGAGTGGAAACTCCATCAGTTAATTAAAGACTGAAGAAGGTCTTTAAAAGCCTTTGTCCAATTAGCTCACATGGTCATGGAGTACGTACTACAGAGATCTCTAAACCGTCCTATAAACGAGTTAAATTCAAGACTCAAGAAAGAGTTAAATTCTCTGCTTCTCAGTCTCGGGCAAGGCAGCCTACGTCCTCCCCTATTATCCTTTTCCTCTATCTTGTTATTGGGGTAGATGTGCAGCTGAAGAAACCCGTGTGGCATCCATGATAAACATGATGTGTGTGTAAGGGTCTCTGATGAACGACTCCATCAAAGTCAGTGGCACTGGATCATGATCTTGTAGTTCATGGCAGGGGCTCTGTGTTGGTTCTGATTGGTCCATGGGAAACACCTTTTACGTGCCAAAGAGAGATTGCCATGATGAGAGGCGCATGTTGCACCGATGATGTAGGCACTTGTGTGCCAATGATGTGAAGGCAACCACTGGGCCGAAGCACACCCGTGCTCTATGGGCAACGGAGTAACTCAATTAACTTAGACACGGGGCTGGAGTGGTGAATGGTCATGCTTGGGCCAGATCCCCATGTGCCAAGCCTCCCTTCAATGTGCGTGGCGCAGTGTTGGTCTATGCACTGTCCCCGTGAGCGTGTATGCACCTATAAGGAATCCTAGTGGCCATTAACCAGGGCCACCCTGCAAGGGAATATTGGTCTAAGAATGCAAACATCACTTCTCTCAAAGCAAAATTTATGATAATGCCACTTAATGTAAGCTAGTACAGAATACTCGAAGAAATCAATAAGAAAAACTTCTCCGCACTTGGATTCAAAGATTTATTTATTTTTGTTACATCTAACAGTCTCTTACTCCTTCATTCACCTCTTTCTCACTATTTTAGACATAGGTATATACATTATATATAAACTCAGCAAACCCTCTGGGGAAACAAAAGGACCTCTCTTCAATAAGGAAAAAAAAAAAACACAGCTTTAATTAGTTGACTATTGAATTACTCTAGGATGGCTCTTCCCTCTTCAGAGGAAAATAGAGATGGGTCCTTCTCTGGTATTCCTCTTTCAAGTAAATAGCCTTTACTTGCTAATTTCCACAGAGAGCTTTGTGCTTCAACATGGCCCATGTCACACACAAATGTTTGGTGGAAGTTCGTCTCAAATCTCAACCAGTTGGATCCTCCATTTCCCATCTCCTCAGGTGAAACATTTATACAACAGTTCTTTGGCTTTCCTACTACGATCTCTCCTGGAAATTCAATGACCGAGACAAAGCTGCAGGATTGGCTTGCAATACCTGAGAAGTCTCGGCCATATGATTCTTTTCATCATCACCCTTTGGTTGAAAGACCTTAAGGAGCCCGCCTGCAGTTTTTGAATCGGGCTTGTCGTTCTTAATTCCCAGTGTTGCCCATATGGAGCTCCTTGCAGCCTCACTTGGATCATCAATCCTCAAAGTCTTTGGAATCCATAGGCATTTCTCTGAACTGTTCTGTTTTAGTTGATCTTCTTTCTCTGAATTGCTTGGTTTTAGCACTTTTCCATCTCTTGAATGTTTTCCTAATGGAGAATTAGGACTGGAGCCTGGGCCACCAGGACTGGGAGAAGATGGGGGTTGGGATATCCAGGGGATGTTCCAGGTTCCTGGGACAGTACAACCCCAATAAGTCGCTGCAGGATAGAAGGATATTGGAAAGCTTGAAGGACAGAAGGCAGGTGGGGGTACAGCAGAGCTCCACTGAGCTGAGTTCCATGGATAAGGCCAAGGAGTCCCTGGAAAGTATGGTATTTGAGGAGGAAACCCATGACAATTCCGCATCACTGGCTCTTGTAAACTCACTCTATTTCCTTCTTCTGTATGATTCGATGCAGTGATAGAAGATCCACTTGAGCGATCATCCCCATTTTCTGCTCCAGAGGAAACTGGAATCCTCTGCTCTTCTGGTCTATGAAACCCGTTCCTAGTGGTGCAATTCCGCATTGTCTTCTCTGCGAGGTTCAGAACCGAAGCCATGGATTCACATAGAGGCGCATCAGAGCCAAAGGTGAGAACGGTGCCATTGGGCGTTGGGTGGTGAACTCCATCTGGGGCATCAGCTCGACTGGTTTGCAGGGCTTCGGAGGTAGTAATATGCCGGTAGTGTGAGGCAGAGTTCTTGTTCTTGCGACGGCCAGCTCCTACAGGCACATTTCTCATGGTTCCACCGGCCGTCCAGTATCTCTGACAATTCTTACAGAAATGCCGAGGTTGGTTGACATTATAATTGTTATAGTAACAGAACTTGGTATCCATACTATTACAGCGAGGACATGGAAGTATCTTGTCAGGCTTCTTCAGGGTCTTCTCTTGTGGGATACTTGTCTCGCTCTGTTCTTCTTCAGTCTTGCTAGCTTTTGGTGTTGCAGTTTCTTTGTCAACCGAGGGAGTTTTGGGGTTTTCATTTATCACTAGGGAAGTATCATGATCTGTCACCTCTTTCACACTTGCAGGTGGTAAACCATTACCATCCTCCCCTTCAGTCTTGGCGGGTTTTCCTCCCGATTGATCCTGAAATTCAGGACCCAATATCTTCGGTAAGAAAAAAGAATCAACCGTGCAAAAAAAAAAAAGCTAAATTTCAAATAAAACGTGAATATGACAAGCATAATTCGGGTAGCAAAGGGAAAAACGCAGGAAATGTTGATAAAAACCCGCTTTGATGCACAACTTGGGGACGGGGAGTCGAGAGGGTTAAGATGGATGCTGGATTTGATGCATAATTCTTTGATATTACGTATACAAGGGATGAAGACGAAAAACTTCTATCAAATTTAGTGGAAACATAATTGAGAACTTTTAAAAGATCACAAGTAGTGCATCTACTTTTCTACGGCTTGGTACCTGGTATCAGCTTTTCAGTAGCAATTACAGAGAAAACCAAAGGTTTGGTACAATAATTCCCAAACAGTATAAAGTTGAAGTTGGGGAATAAGAAAAGGAAAGGTCTGTGAAAATCACGCTCGGGAATTTATAGGATATGTTTATCTCTGTACCCGGAGGACAAAGAAAATTAAGTAAATTCAAATAATACATCGTTCACAGAAAATAAAAATGGAAAGAAAGTTTAGCTCGGAAGAAGGAAAGAGTTAGAAGTGGAAGGAAAATTGTCTAGTAGTTGTTAAAGGCAAAGATTTGTCTGTTCAGAGACTCACTGAAAAGGGCGGGAGACGTTTAGACAAAAATTAAAAAAAAAAAACCAAAACAAAAAATTGTCCGGAGATACTATCGAAAAAACAAACCGGACTTCTCCACAAGAAAAAAAAAAACTCCAATTATATTAAAGCACATGTCAAGAGGAAGCTATTATGGAAGAGAGAACTGAAGCACAAACCACAGTTTGTGATTATCAAATGCGGATTTCCTGGAAAATATAAACCACAAATTGTCATAGGTCTATCTAGGAACTGGTTCAGCACAGAAATGGTTCTCCGAGACAAAACAGTAATTGAACTGACAGTTGGTAGAACTCAAAAAAGGAGCTTGCTGGGGGAGCGAAAATCAAGCAGACTGGAACTGTAATAGGGCATTAGCTTACCTGAAAATAAGAATACCTTAGGATTTTGAGCAGACCCTCTAACTCTAAGCAGGTAAATGTTAATTAAACAAGAAGATCCAAATGAAGACATCATCAAAACCAAATATTTCCTGTTAAAGCTGTTTTAATTCTCAAAAGTAGACCTAAGTTATCTAAATTTTTAATGAAATACGAGTTGTTGATTGATTCATTTACTGATCAAAATAAGCCTTCATTTTTTTTTCACCCAAAAATTACTAGAAAATCGATTGTGTCAACAAGAAATGGAATCCTAAAAGCGAGCAGTAGCGAGGGCTAAATCAAACCTCAGTAACAAAACGAACCCAGAATCCAACCAAAGCCAGAATTTCAAAAACAGAGAAAACACAGCCAAGATAATAAACCACGAAATCCCCCCTCCCCCCNAAAAAAAAGAAGACCTAGAAGAAAATAAGATCGACCCATTTAGTTTTTTACGTACCTTCTCTTCTTCATCTTGTTCTTGTCCCCCTGCTTTCTTTGATTTATTATCTTGCTCCTGAACAGTAGTCGCAGAAGGACGATCTTTATGGAGCTTTTCTTCATTAGCAGCTGTAGGAGCGTCAGAATCGGTGGAGACTGCGGACATCTCGTCGTTTGACATAAGGGGAATCGTCTTCCCAAAGAGCTTAATCGCCGGATCTTTTGGTTCCAACATTTTGGTTGAAGAAAAACGTGGACAGATGTAGGAAATCGAGGAATAAAAATAATCAAATCCGAAAGGCTCGCTCTATGGCTTACAAAGCTAACTACCTGAGTGTTGATTCATGTGCGCCGCTCCGTAGTGTTGTCTAGGGGAAGGGGCTGTAGGCGTAGTGGTCGTCGTCGTCGTTTTGGTTTCGGCGTCGAGTTCGAGGTTGTCGTCGTCGTCGTTGGTCTTGTTGATTTTGGTCCGTTTAACAAGCTGTGTGTGCCACGTAAGCAAGGGGACAATTCTCAGCCACAAGTTCTTGTGGCCTTGAGATCTTCTTACATGATTCCCATCTCTCTCTGTAAAGGAAAGTGGATGCAACCCCTTCTCTATCCTACTCAGCATCCTCCTCCCCACCTCAATTCCTCGGCTCTCTCTATTTGCACAATCGCCGATTTGTTGTACCAATATTTTTTCTCCCACCAAAAAAAAGAAAACAGAAAAAGGGATATTTGCTTTTTTTGCTATTTTATTAATTTTCTTCTGATGGGCTTCTCTTTTTCTCTTTAATTTTGTCAATTGGTATAATCTGTTTTTCTTGTGGAAGAAATTGCAAATTGGTCGTCTTAAAAAAAGTAAAATGATAGTAGCAAAAAAAAAATTAAAAAGAAAATATGGATACTTATTTTAGCAGCATTTATTAAGGCTGTGTTTTGTTACAATGCAAATAAGTTTGAACTGATGCAAAGCCATGACAGTGCAAATGATTTGTATGTAAATTCTTTCAACTTATTTTGTTTGATTGCAGTAAAAATGAAAGTAAATTAAGATATAAAGCAGAATAAAGTAAAATCCAAAACAAAATTAAACAGGAACTTGCTTTACTTTTACATTTGAACTCCCATTTATTTGTATTAATGCAAATAAATTTGCACTGCAACCAAATACAGCCCAAGGGGTTATTGGGTACTGTAGCATTTTGATTACTATGGCTAAGGTCTCTCTACATGAGACCTCTTTCGATCAGATTTTTCCTCTGAAAACAGCTAGAATTTTTAAAAAGATATTCGAAGAGCCTTAATGGTCCAAAGATGTAATAAGGTTTTGGGGTCCTAGATTGTTTGGTAAGCATTTTTGTCTATCATGGCCCACACGGCTATGAAATAAAAGATTTTGGGTACTGAAAAAAAGGCAACGTTTTTTTTTCCATTTTGGGCTTCAATAAGTTTTTTAGGGCATAAGTCTTTCTCTTTCCTATTTTTCATTGTCAAATAAGAAAAAAAAATTGCTCTTACAATCTTTGAAAGCCCAAAAGACTTGCCAAACAACTCTAAGTTCAATCCACATTTATAGCATGGGCTTTGTTGCAATTTCTAATTCTTCCTTAAATTGTGTGCCAATCCACACTATATTAGATACAATTATTTTTGTAAATTTTTTTGCTAAATTACTAAAATATTTTATTCAAAATTTTACTTGACATAGCATTCGAATGATCTACACCACGGTGTAGAATGCCTTGAGACATTGTGGTGTGGTTCCAGTGGTATGATTTCAACATACAATAGTAGGGCCTAGTGAGGTCAAATAGCAACGAATGGATGGATTTTTTTTTTATATTATTGAAAAATGCACCTTAAGCTAGGTATAAATGTTGATAAAGCCATACGTCTCAGTTTCGAAGGAATATAAATTCAAATATGTAGAGTGCAAAACCTTATATTTTGTATGTATTTAAACCATGGTTTTTAAAATTGGACCGGACTGGATGGTAGGACTAGAAAAACCGGGACCGTTTGGGTCGAATAGTTGGAGCGTTCGAACTGATAATCGGATCCCTGATCGGTTCGATCACCAATTCGGTTTTAAAAACCATGATTTGAACTATACATATTTGTATTTGTACTCCTTCCAAATTAAACTTAATGCTCAGTTTGGAAAAAGTACAAATGAAAATATGTACAATACAAATTATAAAGTTTTACACTCTACATATTTACATTTGTACTCCTTTCCAAACTAAGCTTGGAAGGAGTACAAATACAAATATGTACAGAATAATATAAAATATAAGGTTTTGTGTTCTACATATTTGTATTTGTACTCCTTCCAAATGGATCCTAACGCTCAATTTGAAAGGAGTACAAATATAAATATATAGAGTATAAAACCTTATATTGGAAGGAGTACAAATATAAATATGTAAAGCGCAAAGCCTTGTATTTTGTATTACAAAACCTTGTATTTTGTATTTACACTACATTTATACTCTTTCCAAACGAAAGCCTTACTAACATAAAGGTCTCCATTTGCTTATTAAAAAGAAAAAATTAAGACATAAAGGTTACATTGTTGTAGAGATTAAATTGCAACACTTACACAGCTCAAACTTCAAAGTATATCTTATTTTATTACATCCGTACAGAAAAATGTATTTGTATTTTTTGAAGGATAAAAAAATAGTTGGATTAATAAATTTTCCACATAAAAACCTGTGACAATTTTTTCCTACCCATCTCTCCAATTCTAACAAATCTTAACTTCACCACTGTTGATGACTGGACACCATAGAATATTTAAGTCCCGGTAGATGACCCAGCCCTTTATACTCTTGTATATATTTTTCAGTATTGTTTTTTCTGCTTAAAAAAATCAAGAAGAAAAAACAATAAAAGATGAAAGGATGTGATGAGTTGATTGGACAGTATTTTTGATTTTTTTTGTTCGTTTTATTGGTAATTGCTGAAATGGACGGGTCAGATCATGTGGAGAGAAGAGCAGCAAGCTGAGGGTGTGAACTTGTACTACATACACGTTGGCACAAGCAAGAAATACTTGTACAGTTGTACTACCTAATAGATATAGCCTGACTCCTCAAATCATTTGATGCGGTTTCCTTAGAGTATCAAAAAAGTTTGGAGCAGCTGGATTGGGAAGGAAACCCCAAAAAATAAAAGCTTTATATAATCTTTTACTAATAAAAAAACTGAATATACAAACACCAGTTTGCTTCGAAAAGAGGATTGTTGTGGTGTGTCCGGTCCTCTCCTCCCTACTCCCTACCACCAACACGTAGACTAAGATTGTCTTTCTCAGATTAATTTGAGTAAATTTTTAGGTAAGGTAAGACTGATAGAATGAAGATGTTTCATCTTACATTAATAATTCAACGACCTTTGTATTAGAAATTTGGCTTTCTCTAGATATAATAATAATCCTGGTGATACACATAGAAAACAAGAGAATCGGACGGTTTTGGGTTAAGGAAGACAATCTCTGCTTTCCAGGATAGGAGGATGGTAAAAATGTTGATGTGAGTGAGGTTCATGAATTTAGAAAGGGGAGTGGTGAGTGGTCCACTTTTCCAGAGTCCAGACGACGACGATCGAGTACGGGAATCTTACATTTGGCAGCCCATGGAAAAGCGCAATGTTCATGCCACGTCAGCATCTTGTTCACCGTGCAGTTGGCAAGCATCACGTGGAGGAACAAAAGTATAATACTGGGTGGGAGTGGATGGATTGTCTACAAGGGGAATGATGGGCGGGACGTGGATATGCACATCCTGCTCCTGGCTCCTGCCATCCCATCATAATGTATTTTCTATGAAAACCATGTGCTCTGCTTCTTTCTTATCGACCATCTGATTGGTATCAGGGAACCTCGTGCTTATGTAAGGCCCGGTTTAGTATCACGATCTCGATCTGACGTTAAAAGGTAGGAAGAAACAGACATGATGTATCATGTATGTACTTGGTTTATTGGCTATGTACTCCACTGAGTCTCGTCTCGACTCTCGTGGAGTCGTTGGGACTGGACTGGGGGTCCCTACTCGGCTCTACTCCCTCCGGTAAAAGTCTTCGCCGAGTTTTTGCCGAACTTTTAATGCCACCTACACCTACCGAGTAGTGAGTACTGACCTGGGGGAGGGGGGAGGGGGGAGGGTAGAAAACTAGAAATTTTAAAACTTTAAAGGCAGTCAAAATCCACGTCGGCGGGCCGCTTGACTGTGCAACTCTCCACGAATTAATACGGCCTCGGGACACGTCAGCCACATATTCCCGATAGGGGGGTCGGGGCCCAGCTTTTAAAAGGTTTAAAGCGAAAAAGCTCTGTCAGACCCATCCTTACCGTTCATCTAGAAGCATGATAGAATAGCACGTGGCCTCAAACAGCACTACGTATGCATCAACCTAAGAATCTTCTATCAAAAGTGGCTGTCTCTTGCCTTCTTGCATGTGGCCCTATCACAGAAGAGATTGTTAAGTGAAGGACACGTGTCACGTTCAAGCTGGAGATTGAAAGTTTCACAATATCGTTTTCTTTTTCTGCGTAAGTCGGCTGATTTTGCTAAGTTTCTATATAGCAATTAAACCAAATCAATGTGAAACTCGAGCTGACACATCAACTTCATGGCCTGCTCACTTTTTCTAATAAATTCTATATACTTTTCAACTTTTGTGTGGACGGGCGCGTCGATGGTCCAGACAAATACATGTGTCTAAGTCCCTCACCTTTTTTTCCCCCTAGATTATTTAGAAAGCAAATAGGGGATAATATATTTATTTCATCAACTGTCTAAAATGTATAGTGAACAACAATGCTTTCATAACAAAAAAAAAAAAAAAGGTTTCATGGATCTTTAGGCTACCCATTTAGGCTCCGGAACAAGACGTGCACGTGAGGAAGATATCAGTTTGGTCACCGCCCTGTTAGGCCCATTTAGGCAATAGTTTGGTCATTCAATTATTAGGCCCACTTAGGTATCCATCTTACTAATTCTCATCAATTCACATTTAGGGGTGTTAGTGGGTCGGTTCGGATTAAGTGACCCTGTGTTTGTGTTTTGGCCAGTTTTCATCGGGTTGATCGAGCCTAATCCAGATCCATTGATATAGTGACTTGGAAAAATTGTAAATATATCCTTTGTTAAGCATAAGGGAACTAACTACTCATGGGACGGGCATTTGGGTTTGATATACCTTTTCCATTTGGTTTGCAATTCGGGTAGGAGTGATTTCGGGTCGGATTGATGTAATCCCTATTTCCATTGATCATTGGTTGCGAAGATTCATTGTCTATTCGGAAAAAAATCTTGGGAGTTTGTTAGGATTTTCTAACACGAGGATTGTGCTTATTGGAGTTTGTGGTGGTTATTGCTTTGCTTGTTAGGTTTCATTTCTTTTCTTTATTTTTGTTGATAGACAATTTCTTTTCCTATTTATTTTTGCTGCTATTTACATTATCGTTTTTTTTGAAAGCCTTTAGGCTACTTGCATTTACTAATCGTTTTTCTATACTGCCATACTTATTTATTTCTTTTGGTAATGACTATCCGACTTCATAACCATTCAACACGTGGCGGCAGTAGCAACAATTCGGCACAACAATACGTCCAAGGCATGAGCTCCGAAAGGAGGAACCAGCGGTCCGAGCTTC